CATTCCAAAACAAGATGCTTTAGGGGACAGAATGCATGAATTTTAGGCTGCTTCAGCGGCTATCCTAACAGGCTTCACTATTCCTGTGTAGGTTATGGACGTAAACGTACCAGTCCGTTCGCTGGCCAAGGCCGGCTCTCCTCCTTCTGTGACATGGCCCGGCGAAGCCGGGCTATGCGGATTGGCCACGAGCTAAGCTTACGGATTGTTGACCACACTGTAAGGAATCTTCTGCATCAGCCAAGAACTGAAAAGCAACGCTCGTTCCGTCAAGACGAAGAAGCAGCAGCAGCAGCGCTCCCTCGCACCACAGAAAGTAGGAGAGCCGGCCTTGGCCAGCGAACGGACTGGTACGTTCATAACCTACACAGGAATAGTGAAGCCTGTTAGGATAGCCGCTGAAGCAGCCTAAATTCATGCATTCTGTCCTCCTAAAGCGTCTTGCTTTGGAATGCACTCCGCATTCAGCAGTGGAACCCTTTAAATGGCCCTCACTAAGGTTGTTGATGGAAGATAATTGTGGTAAGAGTGATTAAGTCAATTGCTGCTGTTCATAACATCTCTGTAAACAAACCCCATGCATTTGGAATAGAGCTAGCTTAGCGTCGTACATGATGTCGTTACTAATAAGCAGTGAGGAATGAGTTCTGTTGGAATCATTGAGATCGTTATACTTGAGTCATATCGATCGCATTGTTGTTGTGAGCGGTGAAGCGGATTTTCCCATGTTACCTTGTCACTTTTAGCTCCTATCACTTCCGTACCCGCCAATAATATTCCCGTCCCGTATCACTATCATATCACCCTATATCGCCTCTCGGATCCGAGGTCCCACTGTTGCTGTAACCTGCGTTACGAATTTGATGACCCTCCCCTTCCGAGGCCGCTTATCGTATCTTATCAACTGTTATCACTTTCTGTCACCCGCCAATAATGTTCCCGTCCCACACCCTATATCACCTCTCGGATCCAAGGACCCACTGTTCCTGTGAGCCGCACTATGAATTTGGTAGTCCTTCCCTTCTAATGCCCATTATCAGATCTTATCAGCTGATATCACATCCTGTCACCGCAAATAATGTTCCCATCCCAAACCTTATATCACTTATCAAAACCAACGTCCCACTGTTGCTGTCACCCGCGTTATGAATATGGTGACCTCCCCTTCTAACGCCTCTTATCGTATCTTATCAACTGATATCACTTCCTGTCACCCACCAATAGTGTTCCCGTCACACCGCCTACATCACTTCTTGAAATCAATGTCTCACTGCTACTGGGACCGGCGCTATGAATTTCGTGACACACAGACAGACGCACACACAAACATACACACACAGACAGACATACTTAGTGAATTATATAGAGTAGGATGATGAGCCCTCATTATCTTCATACATATTTGATCAGGGTCATTAACATCTTCAGATGTAACCGGCAAGATACCTACAAATACCCTCGACTTCCCCTCCATGACTGAAGTGACGTGCTTACAGCATTGTTGTAGTACATACTTAAACCGTCCTGCCTTTCAGTGAAATTACAATCACTGAACCCTGTGAGGTACGTCGGCCCTCTTCTCCGCCCTGCTCAGAGCAGGGCAAGTAGTTTTCAGTTATATCAAGTTTACGGATTAGCGCTGCGCAGAACACGTAGTGTAGGAATAGTGTATGGATGCTGGATGCTTACCTCCTTATTTTCAGGGAACATACATCTCCCATCATAAGCCCTATGACCCTGCCCATTTGATCTCTCACTGCCACGCAGGATTGAGTGACCTGTCAGTGAGCTATACACAGTGGGTAAGCCTGGCCCTTCCCTTATGACGAGTGTGGAATGTGCCCTCAAAATTTGGCGATTAGCATTGAACGCAATGCAAAAACTCTCGGCAATTCCAGGAAGCGCTGCATCTAGTTAGCCAACTGGTAGCTGAACTTATTTGAGCTGAAATAATGAAGTTATGTGAAC